TATTTTCTATTTAAAACAATTTTTATTAATAATTATAAATAAATAAAATATTTTATTACAATATAGAAAAAATACAACCTCAACAAATTGTTTTGCAGCATCACTAGTTGATTTCAAACTATTTACACAATATTTTTTTCCATTTTTTTCCTCTCAAGTCACACAAAATGTCACCTTTCCATTATATTCATAATTGATTGAACATATGACATCTCGTTCATAAAGATAAGCTTGAACACAGTAACCATTTGGAATACGATATCTACTTCTTTGTGTACGTTGAACATTTGTTGGATAGCTTCCTAAATTCAAAATATTGTATTGATAATAATATGCTCGCTTCCCCTTATAACGTGTTATATTAACTTTAGGATAATTATCTTCGAATTTTTCTGGATTATTTTTTTCAAAATCGGTTATATTAATTTCTTTTTGAATTGATACTTTGGATTTTTTAAATTTTTTAAATAAATGTGTATTAGAGACTTCATAATTATTTGAAATTAAAGGTGTTTTAAAAGTAATTTTAGAGGTTGGTAAAAAAGGAACAGAAGTACGATTTGATAAAGGGGATATCTAAAGCAGCTACCTCAGTATCACCAGAAATATTTTCACCCCCACGTGAGATCTGAATTTTTATTGGTCCATAATTTAACAGGTGATCATAAATATATCACGTGTGAAGTTCATATGAAAATTAGATGTGACAAATATCTGGTAACAAATATGGTTTCCGCATGCAAAAAAATTCTGTTTCCAGAATATTTAACAAAAATCGATATTCAAACGGTGTGACATACAGTGATAAATACACTACCCCTGATAAACCCTAACCCTACCCCATGCATTTAGGCACGTGAGAGGTGAAAATATTTCTAATGATACTGGGAAAGCTGTCTAAAGCAGAATTAACACATGAAATCATCAAATTTATTAATGATCTTATAATTAAATTGGTCAATTTCGCCAATCTTGAAATTTAATTGAACTAATTTCACGTGTTAACTCTGCATATGGGCTGATTTGTTGCACTTCGATTATGT